ACCAACTTGGTTTTAAGGAAAGTAAGTTTGAGATTTTCTAAAGTCCCCCATAATGACCACTGACATGTATATTTAATAGAAGCATGAATCGCCTTTCGCCAGGTCTGTCCATTTCACTACAAATTTCCATAAGGGAGGACCCTGGGTTTAAACAAAAACACAGCTGTGGTTCCTACTGCAGAAGTGACCTCAAAGTACTTAGATAACTTGGACCCCATTTCTCAAGGTGATTTCTGGAGAATAAAGGAATAATTTCCAAGCAGCCTAAAGGGTCAAACAGCGCAAATAGCCAGCAGGGCTAACACCAGTCAGGTCTAAGGGATCAGTCTGGTTGTGAAGGAGCCAGGCTGAAGGCTGCTCAGCACAGGCTCAGTAGATCAGCCCCTATTCCCAAGGAGCGGGAGGAAGGCCGGCCACTTCCAGCTGGAACAACCTGATTTCAAACTCAGACTGAATGCTAAACAAGTACTTGCATACAGTACAAGGTCCTACCCACGAAGGACACACCTTACAATAGTTCTCAGACAAAGCCTGCAGAGCTTCTTACTGCACAGATGTAGAAGCTGGGATCCAGGAGAATGATTTACCCTCAAACTCCAGGACAGGTGAGAATCACAGGGTGCAGCCATGGGCCCAGTGTGGGTCCCACACCTGTTTGGTCAGCAGCCTCACAGTCATACGGGGTCTTGTCTGATTCCAAAGGGCCATGAAATTGTTGACCTGTAATAAATAGATGGCCAGTTATTTCTCCAGCAAAAAGAAGTGTTGTAATCTGGGATCAACAATGATTTGTGTTCCGGGCCTGGAATCACAGTGAGCCACCTGCAGGTCCTAGCATCCACGGGGATAAGACTCTTTTGCAGACGGGAATGGATGTTGGAGGAGGGGCTGTAGTGAACAAGGCACCCAGGGCTTCTCACTGCCTGAGCTGTGACCACCCCTCACTGCCTGAGTCCTTGCCAGGAGGGATCAGGGCATCTTTCTGCTTCTAAAAGCTGGACTCTGCTCTCCTGGTAGGACATGAGAGCCCACTGTGCTTTCACCAAACTCTATTTAACTGAGGTTTCTGTGTATTCAGAATTATTGTGATTTTTCCTGCTTTTTGAGATTGGATCATTTTTGTTTCAGAAGCCAGGATACCCTAGTCAGGCAATGCTGGGTTTATGAGTTCAACTTCATGGTGAAATACAAGTGAATCATGTGTATAACAAAAAATGTCTTCACGTATTAGAGACACTCATTGGAAGGAAACTCCACACCAGATCTGGATTATGCATGTTTTTGTATTTAAGCCTGGAGATGGAGCAGAGATCAGACAGTGGCTAATCTGAGAATCCAGAGAGCAATTATGTTGTTCCCACATGTTCAGATGTTCTGAACACGGAGCTACATGCAGATGAGACTGTGTTATCAAGACCCGTCCCCATAACTGAAGAATAGGGATAAGGAATGTGATAATTTTGTAATATAAAGAGGATATTGGAGCAAAGCAGAATTCTGCTGATGGGACTAAAAACTGGAGCCCCGACTACAAAAAAGTGACAAACTTTACAATTTTTAGCATCAACTCACCATGAAACCAACTATTCCAATACTACGTATCTGACTGGGTGAAATTAAAGCTCTCGTTCACTGGAAACACAGTGTGCAGGTGCTCGTGGAGCCTTCACACATGCTGTAAAGTGGAAACTAGGGCTAAACCCAGAGCTCAGTGCAGGGCC